TTAAAAGAACATTCGCCGCGATGGTATCGTTACCTCGAACGACTTATGTATTATTTTTTGTTTTTAATAACGATGAGCCTTACAATTGTGTAAAAGAATATTTGCCGCGGTAGTGTCGTTACCTCGAGCAATTTATACATTTATTATTTGTTTTCAAAAACGTGATGCACTTTATAATTAAAGGAAAATTCACCGCGGTAATATCATTACTTCGAGCAATTTATACATATTTGCCGTTTTCGATAATGTGGCGCGCGTTACATTAATTTCCTAAAAGAAATTTTGCTGCGATAGTGTCGTTGTCTCGACTAATTTATTTTCCATTTTCGATAATCAAGTGATTTATATACCTATTATTTTCCATTTTCGATAACGTGGCGTGCGTTACATTAATTTCCTAGAAAAAAAAAAATTGTTGCGGTGGTATATTATTGCCTCAAGGAATTTACGTGTCATTTTCCGTTTTTCTTTTAATAACGTGATGCGCCATACATTGTCTAAAAGAAAATTTGCCGCGGTAATATAGTAACTTCAAGCGATTTACATATCATTTTCCGTTTTCAATAACGTGGCATTATATTAATTTCCTAAAAGAAAATTCACTGCGGTGGTGTCATTTTCTCGACGAGCAATTTACGTGTTATTTTTCGTTTTCGATAACGCAGTACTCATTCATTAATTTCCTAGAAGAAAATTCGCTGCGATGATGTCGTTGCCTCGAGTGATTTATGATACATGTTGTTTTCCGTTTTCGATAATTTGGCACGAGTTTTTCTTGACGGATGCGCTCGTTAAGCCACCCCGGGATTCACGGCGTACGAATATAAAAGCGATTATTTAACGAGACGACGGGAGACATTTCGAGAGCGATTTAAATAGTTTGGTCCATGGCGTTCGCATCCCATATACCAAAGTTGTTCGTCTCGGTAGACAAGATGGCTTCGTTCGGTAGGAAGGGCTAACCGAGTTACATAGACGTCTCCTTGGTAGCAACCAAGAAGGAGGTATCAGGAGGAGGGTGAGTAGGGTGGAGGGCATACAGAAGACGCGACCGCCTCGGCGTCTTTAGACTCGAGGCGAGCTACGTAAGGAACTCCGGCGGGGAGATTCGTTCCCTCCTTCGATGCCTCTCTTTCGCCGTCCTGTTCCGACTCCCGTTTACCCCTGTCTCTCTCTCTCTTTCTATCTCTTCCCCTTCTCTGTCTCTCTCTCTCTCTCTCTCTCTCTCTCTCTCTCTCTCTCTTGGAGAGAGAATTGCTCAATTACCTGTTAAGTGCTCGGTCAGACCTATATTCTCGATTGTGCTCACCGCTGAGGGCTACCGTAGGCCGTAGAAGCGCGTGCCGCGAATCCGACTTTTATTCAAATGTCACCACAATCGAGAGACAATATTAGAACCGGGAAACTGTTTTCGCTCGAGCGGAAAGTCGTGGAAGTACTAGCGTTGAGAAACCGATTGAGCGATAAAAATATCTCGTCGCAACAACGTTGTTTCGCTTGCAGACATGAGAAATCGGAAATATTCGCTCGGATATCGCTCCGGACAGTTTTATCCGGAAGTTCCCAACGAAAAGTACTAATCGACGATTGTTTGCTGATGTTGACAGAACGTCCCGTCGACTTTTCGCTGAGCGGCGGGCGCGAGTCGCGCGCGAGCAGTGACGCGCCCGCGGACTCCGACGACGAGGACGACGACGAGATCGACGTGCTGGGAGACGAGACGCCGTCGCCGACCCCGACGCCGACGGCGACGCCGACCCCGACGACACCGACGCCGGCGCCTACGCCGGCCCCGACGACGCCGACCTTGACGTCGACGTCTACGGTCTCGACCCCGACGTCGGCGCGAAGCGGCACCCTGCCGACACCTCTGTCGAGACGCGGCACGCCGCCGAGGATTCTTCATCCGACGATTCATCCGCATCCACATCCGCATCCGCATCCGCACTCGCATCCACACTCGCATCCGCACTCACACCCGCATCCACACACGGTCGGCCTGCACCATCAGCCGCAGCACGTCCAGCATTCCGCCCAACGCCAGCATCGCTGAGACGCGCCACGACGAGGGCGGGTGTCACCCGCTCATTTCTTACCAGGATCACGGCAACCACCACGCGTAGAAAGGAACGGGATATAATCTCTTCGTCGGTGGTACCGGGCCCCCCTTCCGGATGCACCCAGAAAGTTCACCTAGGCTAAAGAGCTCGGCGCGTATAACGAAGAACACGGAATTCGATAGAGAGATCGTCCCCGCCCCGGAGGGATCGAGAGGAAAGAAGCCAACGTCTTTTCGTGTGTCTTTAAAGCAGTATTTACGTGTCACTGAAATAATTAATGCTGTTCAACGCGGAACGGTATTCCGTCGCCGGAGCGTCGCTGGATTTTTCCCGCTTACGTAACATAATAAAAAGGAAAAAAAAGCTAAAGAAATGAAGTTTTGCTGGTTCCGAAATCTCTACTTTTTATAGCGAAATACGGTAAATAAATATACGGTATTTGGTCTGTTGTTACTTTTTATAGTCAAGTGTGTAAAAATAGGCCGTGGTTTTCGTTGAGGAATTAAACTGTCATGCTCTGACGTGAATGACGTGATGTGTACACTTGTTTCTCCTCGATTTGTCTTTTCCCAAACAGTTTTCCGAAATTTCTAATATACGTAATATATATCTTGGGGGGGGGGGGGGGGGGAAAAGGAGAGAAACAGCGATTTTTATACCGGAAAAACGCAGACGTTGTCATAATGACACCAATGTTTTACGGACCGCTCGTGGCGTGCACCGACATTGACATTTAATTGCGTCGCGGGTCGTGGCGGACGACAATCGAGTCTCTTTAACGCGATCGTTTCGTTAATGGTCGGCGCGACATTTCGGTGTGCCTACGGTCCGAAGACATTTTCGCGAAAATTAACGAGGCGTCGAATCGACCGACGGGAGGGAAACTCCAACTAATGAAGCTCGCGAGGTCCGCTTCGTTAACGCGTTGACTGCCATTATTAGCAATCAGCGCTATTGAAACGTTTTAAAAAACGTTCATAAAAAAAAATGCCATTTAATATAAATTATAAAATTTTGGATGACACAAACAGCCAGATGAAAATGTGAGATAAAAAGCGTGCGATTCAAAACACGCTACGCTCTGTTAAATTCGTAGTATAATTCAAATTATACTCAATTTGAGTCATTTTTTAACCATCCCAGTGATTAGTCGAATCGAACAAAGTCGATTTATTTAATTAAATAAAAAATTTATTTATTTATGTAAACGGGATTTATAGAGGTCTCTTTAGTATACATATAACAATTATAATTATATAACATCAGGAAAATGCAGAAAAAAAAGAAGAATACAAAAATTACAAATTACAACTTATAGTACATACAAAATACAGATAAGATCTAATAAAGGTAGTAAAGTATATTGATCGCGTTTAACAGAGTTTAAAGATGTTTGAAAAAAATCTACACAATTGGAGAATTTGTTCGCCAGTAAGCATATTCTATTTAGGGGTTTGAATTTACCGTATAAACAATATAAAGTATGCAATTCTTCGTAAAAAATTAAATTGTTCCTAAGAGGCCTGTAGCACGATACTGTTACGCAAAATTCTGATTCACAAACTCGTTATGCAGATCGCGATAACTAAACTAAGCTTATACATAACATGAAATCGTATACGTATGGTCAGAATTAACACATTGGACTTTCTGTAAGAAAAAACTAACTCTACCGAGAAAGCGGTGTTGAATCTTTTCAATTATTGTACAATATTTGATGTCGATGCGTCGATGAATGGTCGATGTTGCATATTGGTTGATATTTTTGTCATCTTCGATCTCGTCATAGTTATTCTTACGTTAATTGAGCAATTATGAATATTTCTATAAGATTTCTTTTGTCTTTCGGTCAGTTTTATATTGATGTTTTGTATACTTACTGTGTATTCGATATAGAAACGTGGAGGGGAGAAAGGCCAAAAGACAATAGAAATCCAATAGAAATATTCGCGATTGCTGGATCAGCATAAAAATAATGACGAGGTCAAAGATGACAAAAATATCAACCAGTAGGTCGATAGCGACCATTCATTCATGCATCGATAGCAAATCGACAAATTGATTCGACTAATCTCATTTCTGGCCGAGATTTCCATAGATCGCCACTGCTCTCTTATTCAATACGTCGTTAATTTAACTAAAACAATGTTAATTCAAACCGCAATGAAGTTAAAATAATACCGTTTTGTGTTAAAATAATAAATTGCGACACATATGGTAATTAAAAAATAACAAAGTATTGGTTTAAATTTCATCCTTTAATATTTAACAGCGGTATATATAGTCTCGTTTAATCATATATATAACACAATATTCCATTGTTCTACGATAACAAAAATTCTGCGATAAGACATTAGAAAATTCATCGGACGACACGTTGCAGCCCGTAATTACGACAATCGGGCATGTTTGAATGGTGATTACGCGCGGTCGCGTGAAATGATCGCGAGGCGCCGTTTTTAGCTACCTGTTGCGGCGACGTTAGATCGGCAAGATCGGCAAGTGCCTGTTAAGAAAAGGGACGATATTGTAGCGGACGGTAGAGATTTTCCAACGAGCGCGCGCGCGTGTCACGCAGGCGGTGAGGTGCCTGCGGGGCACGTCGTGCTTCCAGTTGGGGTGAATCCTAATACCCAGATAATGGGAAGTAATTGCGAGGGATCAGAGCGAGCGAAGCTACTCTGTCGGCTGTCGAGTTCGGGGGCAGCGGGATGCGTATAGAAAGAGAAAGAGAGAGAGAGAGAGAGAGAGAGAGAGGAGAGAGGGTGGCGCCGTGCCACGCTTCCATCCCTCCTTCCCCTCCTTCTCCTCTCCTTCCCTACTTTCCCTTCTCGCCGTTGATTCGCGGGGGTGGAGAAAGAGGACGAAGAGAGGATCGTAATCGTGTTATCGGGACGAAATCACGGGGTACATTCTCGGATACACATCGGATAGATGGATACGCGCGTCGGCGTCGCGTCCGTGCGCGAGATCAATCCGCGCGAGATTTACTTCTGGCCCTTCTGGCGAAAGATCTCGGTGAGAGAGAGGGGAGGGAGAGAGACAGAGAGGGGGGAGGGAGAGAGAGTTTGTATCGACGTCGCGCTTCGTGGCGCGTTTATAGCGACTCGAAGAAGAGCACGGCTCTTTCGGAATCTCGCGATTTCTTCCGAGCGACGCCGCGTTTGAGGTGACTCTATCGCGAACGAAACACGAAGGTCTGGGATCAGTAGCGCGCGCTGGGGTGGCAGGGGGACGGAGGGGGGACTTGGCCTTTGATGCTCGGGAAGATAACGCCGGCGTTGCCAGGCTGGCCAGGTAAGCTGGTAAACTAAATGAGATCACGGGGCCATTTATGACGTTTATTAAATTCCGTTAAGACGTCTATTATTACGGTACGTAAATAAAGGGGGAGATTTCGCGCCCCTCGTCGAGGGAGACGGAGCGGAATGCGGCGAAAATAATGAAATAAAGGACAATGAAGTGGCAGGTACAATGGCCAATAGGGCATAGAACGAGAGTGAGGACGGGCAAGGCGCCAGCGAGCGCGGCGCGGTCCTCTCTCTCTCTCTCTCTCTCCCTCTCTCGTGTGTGGAAGGGGTGTTGCAACAAGGGGTTACAGAGCTCGGCGCGCTTTAGTTCGGCGGGCTAAATGCAGTGGGCGTGTTCCCATTACTTTCATTATTTTCAGTCGCCGGGGTTCGGCGGGTATCGATGCCCGAATGTAACCGTAGGTCGCCCGTGCGAGGCGCGTAAACGCGGCCGGCGAAAGATGGGCAACCTACGATTTTCGCCCAGAGTCGATGGGATACTTATTGTAGTTCTTATTATATAATCCTGGATTCAAATCAGCGTAGAAAAATCGCTATGAAACAAGGTCGTTTCGACATTGAAACGAAAAGTTGAAACGATAGTTGAAGGTTCGTTGATATTTGCTGCAACTTCGATGTCGAATCGACCAAAATTTTAATTTCTTTCGACGTCATTCGACTATACATTACTAGGAATCCATCAATGGTGGCGACAGATTTGCGAAGAATTTATATCGGAGCGCGCGCAATGATACGCGTCGATCAAAGATCAATTTGATCCGCTCGAAAAAAAAAAATGAAAAAAAAAAAAAAAAAAAAAGGGGGGGGGGAATTAGGCCTCGAGGAGCAAAGTCGAGGGTGAACCGTTAGCCTAACAAGCTGTCAAGACGTCGCCGCGTGTCAATCCGCGGCTCTCCAACGATCCCCGAAATAAAGCCGCCTAAAACCCCCCCACAGCCGTCGGCCGAGAGAGTTTTCAGTCCGGCCGCAAAAAAACGTCTCTCTTTTTTCTCTCTCTTTCTTTTCACGCGAAAATTCCTGCTTGATTCGCGGGAGGATATGGCACACAAGAAGAGAACACGGAAGACACGTGATATATACGGAGGCGAGAGGAAAGGAGAGGAGATACTCGCTATAGAGACAACGGCGTTACTGCCCACGTGCCGTTTAACTCGATCACAGTGGCAATCTGGCCTCGTTTCAAGCTCCGGTTACTACGACGCTTCCGCTAACAAATAACATTGTCGTCGACCCTGCGGGGGCGTTCTGATTCGATTTGCGCACCGTGAAAGCGCGCTTGCCTCTCGGGGAAGGAGCGACGTGGCGAGAGGAGCGTGGATGGCGAGGAGCGACACGCGGCGAGGATGAAAGGCCCGTGTCGAAAATGCCGCCTATGTTGTCTCTCGGCGCGCTCCTAATCAGTCCGTCTCGTTTCGAGTAAGCGCGAGTCGGCGCGATTTTTGTTTAAAAGCCACTCTACCCCGTACGCGAGCTACAAGCTACAAGGTGAAGACCTGGGCACCCCGCGCAAAACACTCTCTTTCTCTCTCTCTCATTTTTGGTGCTTAAAAGAGATCCCTATCTACACGGCGTGTTTAAAAATAATTGCCGCGGTAGATCCGGTGATAGTCACGGAGTCGCCCTCACCTCGGCGCTTCCTGGCCTCTCGAGTGGCCCTCGTTCTACGATATAAAGGCGAACTCGTGCCCCCTCAGCGAGGGCACCCGCGGCCTCTTCCGCCGCCGGTCGAGTGGCACCCCACCTTTCATCCACTCTATCACAGCGTTTAAAGAAGTAAAGACTAAAGGTCCTTTATACGTGTCGAGTGAGCTCGCCTCAAGACCGCTCGAAAGCAGTCGAGGCTGCTCGTGGGGCAATGACGACGACGACGACGAAGACGACGACGACGGAGGGGTACGGAGCGTCCGGTTTGTCGGACGAAATTAAAAAAGGAAATATTGATACAACCCGCACAATTATTAATTATTATAGTCCCGTCGTTAATTACCAACGTCACAGCATGGGCGAGGAAGACAAGGGAGACGAGGGACGCGGAAATTCGAAGAAACATATGCGTCCCATCTTCCTCCGATTTACAGCATTTATATTTATTTCACGTACAACTTGCATATATTATAATTATAATCGACAAACAGTAGTCTCTCATAACGGAAACAATTATTATTATTAAATGCGATTATAACTAAAGGGGGGCAAAGATGCGCCCAGCCGGATGAGGCGTGAGCCTCCTACACTCAAAAACAAGATTACTATATGTCTATATATACATATATATATATGTATATGTATATATATATGTATATGTATATATATATTAGCCTTTGAATATTAGAGAATTAGTCTTTGTGTTGTGTGTGTGTGTGTGTGTCTGTGTGTGTCGTTTTATAGGGAACTCTTTACTTTCTATACGGCTCTTAATATTGTTTCGTATCGTTTCTCTCTCTCTCTCTCTCTCTCTCTTTCTCGTGCCCTTAATAAGGATCTCTACAGACTATTTTGCGAGACTGCGGAATCTCAGCTTATTAAAAATACACATCGCTCGCGGATGTATCATTATTGCGCGTTATATTGTGCATAAGTCATTAGGTACCTCATTTGTAAGGGGTTTTCAGGCGTTGTCTAGACATATCTCTCTCTCTCTCTCTCTCCCTCTCTAGTTAGGCCATTACCATCTCGGATAAAAGAATCCAGGGAAGCGCGCGCGCGCAAGCACGACTATTGAATCTCTAAGTATTTTATCATTAACAGTCAATAAGTTAGTAAACGTGCACTACGCGTGCCTGAACACTGCTTACAGATTTGCACGATAGAGATACACGACTGAGATATTCGAGTGGGGATACGAGACACGCGAACGATTACACGGGGAAAGCACGGTAACACCGCGATCGTTGACGGTATCAATTCTTGGTTGCCGTACCATTCAGTCGACAAAAAAAATATTTTAACGTTAATTAACCGACATTAAAAAGAAACAGTCACGTGTTCGAAACGAAAACCACGGTTTTTCGAATCCTCACTACGCATGCAAGAGATTTTAAACGTCATCGTTTCTAATCACTAATAATCTTAATTAAATATCTTGAGAATTTGTAAGAGATCAAAACGTATTTCAGCGTAAGGCTCTCCGAGTATTAAATTGTAATTTGTTCATCGCGTCCGCAGGTCCGCAGACGCGAGCATCACTGAAATCGTACTCAACAATTAGCGTCGACAATTAGTCCCAGTCTTATTAAACAGTTCTCGAACCGTGCTTAAAAAAAAGAAACGCTCAGTTTGCTAAGCCTTTATAGAAAACAAAACAAAAAAAAACATTTCCGCGTGCGAAAACATCATCGTTCTCTTTTTCACAGAAGAGACCGATTAAAAATCGGAAATAAAAATAATAAAATGGGATAAAAGGAAACTAAAAACGTATGAACCATCGCTCTAAAGCGTCGTGCGACGTAACAGAAATGAGATGAGGCGATGTGTGAGCAGCAGAGCTGCTGCTTAGTAATCGAAATGTAATAAAACGCGAAGCCAATGCGCGCGATACACACTTAGGATATTAAGATAGAAGAACCACTTTAGTGTAATCCGATAGTAATCTTGATTTTAAGCTAGCCTTCCGTCGACAAGCGCATTGTTATAGAAATCAATATGTTACACACATATTAACTAACCGAGAGAATTAACATGTTTTCAAAAGATATATCTGTGGATGTCGTCATTATGGACCAGTCCATAACGCGAGAGTAACATTGGCGCGCGAATGAAACGCCTGGTTTAACGTCGCGCGAGCGAGTTCGTCGAGACTCCCTCGACCAACTCGGAAAGCGCAATTTAGTTAAACTTTATGTATGTACCAGAAATTTTTCACTCGCGAGAGAAAAATACTTATCTAAATTTCGGTAAAGTTACAATTTCGCTGTAAAAAGGCGACCAGATTTTACGCGGCTCGTAAAGGAATCTCTCTAAAAAATAAAATTCCAAGATGTACAATTTTTTTTAAAGAGATTTTTACCTACGGTGTAAAAGCAACAGGTGAGTCCAACGTCTCGCGTGACGTCGTGAGAACCTGCACGAGATATTGTTGACTCTGGTACATACAAAGCAGCTGAAATGTTACATGCGCGTGCGCGTTTTTTCTTCGCTAGCGTAACAGTACAAAGAATATAAGTAAATATAAAAATCAAATAATAATATTAATAATAATAATAATAATTACAAAGAGGATCGTTATTTTAAAGCTTCTAACAATAATAAAAATGAATACTTTCCTTCGAGTTCGTAATAAATTAATAATGAGCTTTAAAAGCATTCGTACAATTCAGCTAACAATGGCGATCGACGATATGAAGATGAGTCATGGATCGCGTAACTCGTTTTATCATCCTCGTCGTAATTCACCTTCATTATCAACCGCGATAAGGCCGCGGCATCGGTGAGATTCAAGTGAAAGCGGTTCAGTGGATCTAGTGAAAGAGCGTTTGGCAGAATTACATAAACAATATGTCATCGAATGCAAAAGCGGCATTCGCATTCGTGAGTAGTACAAATAAGCCCAAGTTAGCGTACATACCTGGGATATAAATTCAATAAAAATATACGAGCGGTAAAGTTATGTAATTTAAGATAACGCCGTCTCTCTATTATTACCGTTTGGATACACGTTTGCTCGACCTCCCGTCATTCTAATTAGTTGCCGTGTATATTCGAAAACAAAAGCAGACGTGGCGTTAAGAACGAGGTTGAATTTGGTCATACGGTTGATTAATTCGACAGCCGCCCTACAATTTGCACTTGTTCTAAGATGCAGGTAGATAATGGATATCGCATTACGCGTTAACTGCTCAAGAACTTATTTATACTACTATAGAGAACGAGGGAACCCTGGCTCCCTTTCTTTCCTTGTCTTACGAAGACCGGATTTCATTAATGAAGAGAAGGTCTCGTAGCCCTCTGTTTCAACCTGGTTAATAACGCCTGCTCGCCGTCGTCCTCGGTTTTCGATGAAACTCCACGGAAACTCTCCGACCGATACTTGTCCCTCAAGAACGTCCTTCTCTCCTCTTTGTACTTTTCGATTCTTTCTCTACACTGCGGGTCCCCCAGGTCTAGGCCGCCGAGATTTCGCAATTGGATCTTCTCGGAGGCGCTCGAGCAGGTGCCGGAGCTGCTGCCGACGTTAGGCGTCGAGCAATGCTGCACGTCCTCGGACGTCGGTTTCACCGACAACGAGATGTCCTTCGTCATTCGATTGAACTTGGCCTCGTCCAGGGAGCGGCTCAGCGCCGCTCGAGTCGCCCTCGCGTGACGCGCCCGCAAGCAAGGTGGTAAATGCTGCGACGGCTCCTCGGATTTCCCCCTCGCGCAATCCAATTCTTGTCTCATCTTACTCTCTCGGACGATCTCCCTGCCGATCTCCGAATCAAAGCTCCTTCGCTCTCTGACTGTTTCGCTTTCGTATTTTCTTCTTACAGGCGTAGACGCGTCCCCTACCGCGCCTCCGGATAATCTTTGTAGAGCTAGCTCCTGCAAAATCGCCGCGGTGTCTCGTGGCGGAAGAACCACCGTGTCGTCGATGGTCGGCGACAAGGTGTTCGTGAATGTGCTCGACGTGTCCAACGTCCGTTCCATCACCTCGGACGCCCCTTCTGGCGCGTGTGCCACCTCGCAAGGCTCGGCCGCGTTCTCCGAAGGAATCCTCACTTCGGTGTTGCCTCGTATTCGATTAGCTTGCAAACTGACGCATTTGTGACCCTCGTCGCCACGTTTGGAAGCGCATTTGCGTATTTGTTGCGTATTACTCTGCTGCTTCTGCGAATTATTGTATCCGAAACTTTGGCACTTCTTTGACAGTCCGTTCGTACAATGGTCGTTGTCACGATCGTCTCGCGTAACGCTCGTCTCCTGATTTCCCTCGGATTTATTCAAGAATCGCGGATGATTCGTGACGTGTAAAGTGCGTGTCGCGCAATCACGCTGCTGCGCGCTCGTGTCTCTCGATAGACGGCGATAGTTCTCAAAGGTTTCCGTTTCCGCAAACAACTCCTTATCGTCACGTATCTCGTTCCGATTTGTACCAAATACGTTCGCATTGTCCGCCTCGATGTAACACGCGCGAACCTGTTGCTGCTGCTCCCTCGCGTTAGACTCTTGGCCCGAATTAACATCCGTGCAGGAATATCGATTGCCATTCTCCCGATCGCGCAGTCGAGAATGGGTGTCGTCCGCGAGATTATCCTCGTTTACGAGACCAAAACTTGTCTGCGACTCAGCCTCTTCTCGTTCGAGCCCATGACTCGTATACTTCTTCGTATCGGTAACATCGAGTATCATCTCCTCGCTTTCCTGCATCGATGCACGACTTCCCGTCGAATTGTCGGAAGTCATTCCCATACGGAACGCGTCCGCGGTCGGAGGCAGCGTGAGCTCCAGCAGTGTTCCAGGAACGTTCTCCGACGCTGGATTCGCGTCGCTTTCCACAAAAGAATCGTTGGGACTAGTCGATTCGCTGATCGGTGTTATAAAGGAATTAGCTGCCGTTCCTCCAACAATCACCCAGTCGCCGGAGTCGTTGTTGCTACTCGTCGCGCGCGGATTTTCCGTATTGCTGAACACTTTGTCGGAGCTGTCGCAAATTACGAATCCAGACTCCTGCAGCTCCTGTAGAGTTTGTTCGCACGACATGGGAGAATCGAGATCGGTCGTATTGGATGGCAACCTCGGCAAATCAGCCACCGCGGTAAGATTATTTGGTGAATCAGTAGACTCGTCGCGTTCGTTAGCCGCCTCTTCTTTTTCTTTATACGATTTAGATGAGATCTCCACAGAATGCAAACTCAGCTGTGTTACGTCCTTACGGGATGCGGCAACTCCGCTAGTTACAGCTTCTTCGCACGAAGAGGAGGATAATCTGTTACACGGTGTCATCTCCGTATCGTTGAAAATCGAAGCGACCGCGCTCGATTGACTCGCGACGCGATTTTCGGTACGCGATGTGGTCGCGTTTCTATCGTGCAATTCCACGCGTCCATCATAAGCTATAATCCTCTCACATGGCTCCAATCTCTTATCTCGGTCTTCTAAATTTATAGACAACCTATGGCTAGGATCCGACGACTTTTCAGAAGATGACGCACTGGTCTCCCTCAACTTATTCGTATTACTTCCGTCGCGCTCGTCGCCAATCTCTAACGGCAAAGTGAAACTTCGAAAACTTATTCTGGGGCTATTAGCTGGTACTGGCGACGTAGAGTGAGACGTGCCCTGCAACGTAGCGGGCGTTAACGGCGTAGAGGCTTCCGACAACAACGGTAGATAACCTGGGGTTTGTAACGGAGACGGTGTTTCGATACTGTGAATATCCGCACTTGTCGACACCATGACCTGAAAGATTCGATAAATTAGACATGACGTGCATATAGAAAATGACTGAGACTAATTTATGTTAATCACCTGATCAGGACTTTGGCTGTCTATGAAACGCAACTCGACGTCGCAATGCAATCTTTCTTCTAAGCGAGATCGTTTCCTCTTAGACCCGCCGGTCGCGGCGGCACATTGATTTCCTTCGGTTCTCTGCCGACGCGGTGACGCTTCTACCGACGCCACTCCGCCACCTTCCTCCTCCGAAAGCATCCTCATCTCTCGTTCTTCGAGATCGAAGTTAAGTTGTATCTCTGAGAGATCCAACGGCGAAGATGCGTTAGGCGCATCAGCCAAGTGATCAAAGTACGAATCGTGCGAGACGGATCGACTGTGACCGCAGGTTCTGATGGGAGGTGGTCCTCCTAAAAGCGGACCCAATCCATCTTCGCCGTCTAAACTGTCGGCGCTTTTGACGGGTCTCAGGCGTCGCAAAGAGTTCAAGGAACTTGGCACTGTTTCCGCTTGAGGTGGCGTGCCAATTTGCCTCGTTTTTCCGACAGCGCCTCTACCGAATAGCGCCCTCCAATTTAGCGAGGGCGATCGTTTCGAGCCATTTCGTTTGCGTGGCAGCTCTATGACAGTGTGATAGCGCAAAGGAAGGCCAGCCGGACCCGCCCCAACCTCTATGTAATCAGGCTCGCCTCTGAGACTTCTGTTGCGCGCTTCCTCCAAAGTAAGCAATCGCGCGGACGTGGTGATCGCCAAAGACTTTGGTCTGCCAACAGGACCATCCCCGAATATGAGTTCCGCGTAGCAGACTAGAAATTCCGTCACGACCGCCTGAACTCCGACACCCTGAAGGGCCGCTACACCACCCACTTCCAACTCCTTGCACCTCAAGAGATTTGGCGCCCAGACGATGGCCACATTGCGCGGAGTCATACCTGTTTTCGTGCCACGCGCGGCTACCCTCACCAGGTGACGCATCAAATATTCCAGTGTCCTGCGTACATGATTTGATAAAGATTAGAATAAATCGTCGACTCGTTGCCGCGACAGGTGAACGTAACGAAAATGGAAATATGGATAAAACTACCTGTAATGTGGTGGCGGTAACTTTCTAACCGCGTCTCTCATACGTCTCAATCTCTCTGCGTCGCTACTGGCTTGAACCGCATTGACGAAAGTGGAGTAAAGTTGATACGTGCACAATGGATTCGGCAGCTCTCTAAAGTACATCTTCAATAACGATGCTACGGAGTGGATATCTTGCAGAATGCTCTCATCGGAATGCAACGCTGGTACCCTATCTTCGTCGAAGGCGTTCCGCAATTTTTGAATGTTGGACGTTACGCCACTAAGACGATATATACCGTCGACTAGACCATGTTTCTCTATGAATTCCGCGCAGCACGTCAAAACGGTAGGCACTACAAAACGAATAATCTTTTTCGTCTTCCTTCCTCTTTTATATAGTTTATACTCGATATATCTAAATTATAAAAAGTATGCTAGAAAAAAATGTACCGTCTTGACCAGAGTTTAATAGATGTTCTCCCAAATCGCAACCAAATACGCGCTCTCGCAGTATACCCGATTGCTTCAATCTCCTCCTAGAGGGCCGATTTAGTATGAAGGATCTAAAAAAGGCGATCAATTTGCCATGTTTCCGGAGCACGGGCTTTACTGGTAATCTCGATCTGACCGTCGTCGAAACCGTCAAGTGACGCGGCACTTTGTCCCCGATTACGGCGACGCATTCGGCCGGGAAAAATCCAACCGCGAATCCATGCTTTCCACGCCACCACGTACTTTCCCCCGGAGGGGGCATGTCTATAACGGATATCATGTCGCCTACCTGTTTATCATATTAAATCACTTGGATTAGTCAGAGCGCAAAGTTCTCATAGTACAAAAACTTGCAAGTTAGCTAATTGATTACCTGGAAAGAGATCTCGTCTTGGGCTTGAGCGGTGTAGGGTCTCACGGCGTATGCCGCGGCGACGGCTGGAGTATTGATAGGACAGGAATCCGATTCTGGCACCAGAATCCTTCTTCCCCTGTTGTCGAGCTGTAGCCAATTTAATACCGGGCCACAGTTTAGGCCTTCGTGATTCAGCAGCGAGAACCGGCTCAAGTAATCCTTTAGTATATCACAGGCGTTTTTTGGCCGAACATCTGGAAGCTTCGTTAAGGAGGAAAACTTTCTGTCGAATATGCAGCGATGCAGCTGCTTATCGAACATGACGAAGTTGTCGTAGGACCTCTGTAGCGTCCAGCACGCGTCGCCGGATGTTATTCGAACGGCGTAGCTCTCCGAGTCGTTGGAACCCTCGTTGACGGATACCTGAAAGCCGAGCCGGTGTTTTCTTAACCGAACCTTCCACGTGTTTCGCGTTTTGGCGTACCTCCAGAGTACCAAGCTCGACGTGCTCGTAATGAAAGTGGGCACACTCGTCGAGCTTCGGAAAGCGCGCGATGCTACTCATGTTGCTGCCAGAACTAACGGGCGTGCCAAAGTCGTCCGTCCGGTTACCGCTCAAGCCCTGCAATTTCATTCACACAAGGGAATTAAATTCCCTCTGGAACTTTATAATCGAACTTGTGTGTAATAAATTCGACATTCTCGTGCGAGCTTTTTTAAATCCACTAAAGCGCGACATAATTTTTAGTTTATTAACCTTCGTCTGAGACTCGATGTCGGTGAGCCGGTGAGCACGGGGCCTCTCTTGCGTCGACGGCCCGGGCATCTTTCGCAGCCTCTCCGTGGACGAGGACGAGGAGAACGAGGAGCCAGGCCTTTGACCCGATTTGCCACGCACCAAGGTGGCCTTCTTCACGTTCCTCTCGATCGAGCCATCGCTTCTTTCCCGCAGTTTCTCTGCAGACACGACGGTGGAACTTGGATTATCGTATCCAGAAAAACGCACTAAATCCCGGACGTCCGCGTAAAGAGCGTTTTATTCGCGTCATTCGGAGAACGATCACTTTAACGTCTCGTTATCTCAGATCCGTTCGTTTAGGACTAATAAATGCCCTTTGTTAAAGGCATCTCGTATTAAAATCGATAGAAATTCGAGTATCTTCACGGGGCACGGCGCAATTATCGACCGACCGAATTTCCTTCGCGTCTCCGCGATACGTCTCGGAACGTCTGCGATCGTCTCGCGAAAGAGAAACGACCTTTTTTTGGAATCGAGATCCGTCTGCGGCGGGTTTTTTTTTTTTCTCCACGGCTCACCATATGCGCCGCATATCGCGCGACTTATCCGACGACCAACGCGAACGAAACTAAAAGCAAAGCCGCAGTCCGCAGTAAGTAAAAGGAAAAAAAAATCTCTTAACTACAGCTCCATCTCGACACGTCCCGTAAACGTTGTTACCGCGATAATGGCGATAACGAGAGCGAGAGATAAACATTAGGAACATTTCGGATGACAGGTCGACGGAACGTTATAGATTCTCGATTACAACATCGTTTCTCCGTCGTCGGTTACCAGGAGGCACGGCGGAAGTCGTCGAGCCGCGTTGGACGCTTCAGGGCGTTTCAGCTCGATCGGCACCGCGCCCGGAGCCCGGAGCGCGATCGAGCGCAGGCCGACACCGACACGGACACGCGCGCGGGGGCTGTCGGCGCGCTTAACAAGGCGAGTCTATTATCTAAGGCGCGCGGAAGTGCCAATAACCCGAAGGCGGTGGCGGCGGCGACTCCGTTTCGGGTTGCCCGACATCGGGACGCCCGCGCCGAGGAGTGTCCCCCGCGCGCGGATTCACGTGCGCCGACAGCTCTGGCTCTCGCGACTCGCGACGCGTTCCGATACGCGGAAAATGATACGACGGATTACGGAGTAACGAAGCGACGGATTCACGGCATTCGCGCACGCGACTCGCGAGCGAGCGAGCGAGGGGGACCGACGGCCGACGTGTATATTTACATCGCGAGCGTACCGCAACCGCGCGACGTGAGGAGGGATCGCGGAGCACGGGGGGGATCGGGGAGAGAGAAAGAGAGAGAAAAAGAGAAGGAAGGATTGATATCGGACCTTTCCGCTTTCCGCACCGGCGAAATCGCGAAGACTGCGAACAGCTGTGGGTCTCCGCAGCTCACCCCCCTAACCCCTCTCTCCCGCGCTCGCCAATGCTCGCCACTGTGCGGCACGAATCTTCGCGCTAGGATCTGGGATATAACGGCGCTATTATGTCACGAGCGGTCTCTTTCTTTCTTTCTTGCCTCATTTTTTCTCTCTTTCTCTCTCTCTCTCTCTCTTTCTCGTTCAACGCTTCGTCGCGCACGCTCGGGCGAGGATAAACTCGGGAGGGAAAAGAGGGACGGGTCGGCGCGATGCGACGCTACGAACAGGGCCGTCTCATTCTCGCTGATTCTCGCATCCTCTCTTAACAAGCCGGCGCGGACTCGAGGGGGGAGAGAAACGTACCCGCCGTCGCTCCCGATTATTGAGAACCCCTGGTGGTCAGCCGGATATTTCGCCGCCTGCCGGAGAGGAAAGTCCGCGCACCCGCACCGTGTCCGCTGCCTCCATTTGCCTCCGTTTTACGTCGAGGCTGGTGCTCCTCGCGCGGGTGGAGCCCGACGAGACGGCGACGGAGGCGGCGATCTCGTTGCGATCACGGTCGCGTTCTCACTCCTCTGCATCACCGTTCCACTCACGCCGCCGATCGCGAGACGCGACGCGAGTACGTCTTTCGGCGGGGCGGCCGTGCGAAGTTAACCCAGCCTCGCGACGATCACAAACGGATCAAAGACGCTTCTCTCAACGCCGATGCCCACCCGCCCGCCTATCCGCCACTACTCCCCGACCTAACCTAACTTCGCGTCACCTAGCCTGACGCGACGCAACTCGACGCGTCCGTCGTCGCCCGTCACAAGTGTCACCAATACCCACTACCCACCAACGAGACGGATTCTCTCATTTTGGTTTTGCAAAATATAAACAAAATTATTCATTGGATTACCGGTTTTATTTAACACAGTTATCTCGACTAAATTCCGATTAACTTAATCGAAGATTTCGTGTCCCTCGCAGTCTCGTCCTCCGTCTGTTTTTTTCCGAGCGTCGTCGCGAGATACAATCGATAACAAATCGGCTGCGAACGCAGCTTGCGCGCTGGACGAGTTGCTCGATCGCGAAAGCGCTAAGCAACGATCTCGAAAGTTGATGTTTGCGCTGTGCCTGATGATTCCACTCAGCGCGACGCTCAGCACGCGACAGAACCTCAAATTCTTGCCCGGATTGCCGTGGTCGTCGTCCTTGACGTTCTTGACTCCTTGACTCATACTCGCATTCTGTCAAACAGAACCCGAGCCTGTTTCGATCATCGATTCTTGATTATTCATTCGTAAGATAAATGTATGCGAAAATTCTGCTTTGGGGTTTGGGGTCCGCAATGCGAGTCGTAAATCATAAAGGCCTTCACACATAAAGGCTACGGTCAACGTGACGCTACAAATGTTTTGGAGCGTTCTTCTTCTCTTTCTTTCTTCATTGAAAGAAAAGAGTGGAAAAGAGAAGAGGAATGTGTGTGTGTGTGCTTCGAAGCATTTGTAGCGTCACGTTGACGTAGCCAAAATCACGTAAAGACGTAAAACGTAAGCGTAAGAAAATCGACCAATCCCAATTAAGTATTGTGCTGTCCGTAATCCAAGTAGGGGAAAATACTCGATTTTACGTCCTTATGGCATTTTATGTGTAAAGGCCTTAAGTCGTAAGAAATTGACCAGTTAGGGCCCGGACACACTTTTTCGTAACAATAATTGATCAACGCGCGTGGTCGAAGTTTACTGTTACGTTCTACGAAAAGTGTGTGTGCCCTGTTTTTACAGTTAAATTTGAGGAAAATGATCGACTGTGATTGGTCAATCTCTTACGATTCACAACTCGCGTTGGGTGCTTTTCATTTAGCGACTCAAATCGACACAAGCGTCTTTCTGTCCTTTTTCAACATAGTGAACAACAAAGGTAAAGTGAGGCTGAATTTCCACTGAGCGCGTCATCCGTCGCGACCAATCAAAACATCCTATTTTATTACATCATTTGTGATGGGATGTTTAGATTGGTTAATGACAGATGACGCGACGCGTGACGCGCACAGTGGAAACTCATGCTAAGACTCCATAGACGCGGAAACGTCGTGCGGTAAAGTGCGTTGACCAATCAGAAGGCTGCCGCAAGTCGCCTGCGGCAAAATCAAAATTTGTGATTGGTCAACGCATTCTGCCGCATGGCGTTTCCGTGTCTATGGAGTCTTAGCATCAGCCTGACACTTGTGTCGTTAACTGAAAAGCATTTTTGTCACAATACAGCTTTTCCACTCATCGCAGAACGCTCATTGGATATCGCACGTCACGGTCGATGGTAGGCTCCGTTCCGATATTATTCGCTGCCAGTACTAAAAATCTATGGTTTACGTCACATACACTATAGATTTTCAGTACTAGCGGTACTGGCAGAGTGAATAACGGAACACAGCCCTTATCGCGCTGGCTGTCGAGGCCATAAGGTTTCAACCAATCGCGTTACTCAATTCGGTTACATACTGCCGAATCGAGCAACGCGATTGGTCAAAAACTTACTGTTACGTCTTCCTGAAAGTGTGTGTGCGTGTGTGGCCAGCATTTCTCTGGCACCTGCTGGCCGAGTCACGCGGGCGTCTCGACCGGTAAGAATGGGTAAGGACGAGCGCGGGCGATGACAGTGGCACGTCGATGTACTCTTTCCCTTTTTTTACATTTCGCTACGTCCGATCCAGTAGCGGTTCGTCCGTGCGGAAGGGCAAAAACAATTTCCCACAAAGAGATATACATGGTCACGCGGTGACGGTGACTCGGCTCGTCCCGAACCGATTACGACGCTCGCTGCGTCAGGTGAGACGTCGAAGCGGAGCACGGTGGACGCCCGTCCACCCGGAGTCTTGACCCCCGCGCGGAACCGCCGACTCGGCTCGAATGACAGAACGGGAACCAGTGGACGAACCTAACCTCCAGGAGAAGCAGCGGGTCGTCGGCCCGGCGCGCAAGATCCGTCACCGGTGAGTCGACGTCGTCTTTCTGTTTGTTTTTGCGCGTGCCGGGCGCTTCGGCATGCCCTGGGTCAAATCGGGGGGGCGATCGACACGCGACCCCTCTCGAAAATGTCGCGGGTCGCGGCTCTCGCGCGTTGACCACGCTCGAGCGATATAGCCACGGTGGGACCGCGACCGCGGACACGCTCCGCTCCGCTCCGCGCCGTACCGTGCCGTGCCGTGTCACGCCGCGCGCGTGGGCCAATCGGCGCCGCTCGTGCGTCGCCTGACACTCGGCTCGACCAATCGCCGCCTCCTTCTAATTTTTTGACAATCTCACGTGAAAATCTACAGAATTAACCACGCGAGAGCCACGGATCGTTTGCGATCATTTGCGATAGTCCGTGATTCGAAATGCGAATTTGAAAGAGACGCCGTAGGTTCTCTCGATAAGAAAAAAAAAGGAAGGCGAGAAAGAAAGGACCGATATGAATGTCGAGTCGAACGCCGCCGTGCTTAATCCCGTTCCTGTAATTCTCCGCGTAACGCAAAAAGTGTTGGTCGCTCATGGGAAATCAAACGTCCTGGTTAATCCCGTTGTTGAACGATAAGCGTGATGTTTCGCGGTTCTTTTCACACCGAGACGACCCTCGGAATTCCCGAAGAGTCTGTGGTTCTTATTGTCTGGTTGCGTAATCGATATTAGAAGTTTTTACGCGCTCGTAAAAACTTTGTACACGTCGACTTTCATTTCACTTCCGCAGGTCATTCATTCGCGAGATCGGCCGCTCGAGGAGTCGTTGATGGTTGTCTGCGCTCCGTATGCAAATACTCCTCGCTGATGACGCGCGTGTTTGCGGTCCTTGGCGGCGATGTAAACAAAAGCGCGCGCGTCTCAACCTCGCACGCGTGTAAATGAGCGAGCGCCGTACTTTCCGGCTGTCGCAAATTCGCCTTGCTAATGCACAAAAGAAAAACAAAATATGATTCGACGAGAGATTAGAGCGATTAGATGAGTGACTGGGGACTTGAGAGGCGGTCGAAGAGAAAGGGAAAGAAAGCTCGGAGATCTCGAGGATCGAAAAGGGTTGAAGATACATGCAAGCTAAAGTTCTGATGGCATTGACGCGCGAAAGCTCCACGAGGAATAACTGCGGAGGCGCGATCCCGGATGATCGACGTGATTGCCGCATGACCGCGGCGACGTTTAGCGACGACCCTTGAACCCGCGAGCGAGCTTCGGTCGTGCTCGGCCCATGCGAGACACGTATGTCGCCCCGCGCCGCGGACAACTTGTTCCGCCTGGATCTCTCGGCGAGTCAGTTCAGTGCAGCGCGCGCAATCCGGTGGGAATTGTCGTCGTCGTCGTCGTCGACGTCGTCGTGGTCGTACTCCTCAGTACCCTGTCAGCCCGCGATTCCTCCACGTGGCGCCGGTTCTCCTCGATCTCGTTATATACATGCCACTCGACATAGGGGAGGAGGAGATGCCAAGGTGGAGAACGTAAACGTGGTATGCTACGCCGTCTTCTGGACACCCTGTACGGTACTTTCCCCATAATTTCTATCGTATACGCACGCACCGTGTTTACGCACCTGTGCGTCTCTCATCCCTCGAAACGATCACGGTATCCACGGTGGGTGCTCTTTCTTCTCTTCTTTCCTCTTCCTCCTCTTTTTGGAGCGCGCGAAGGGAGCGATTTCCTCGCGTCGCCTACCTGCCGAGGGGCTCTACGTTTCTGCGCGATTCTCCTGGTGAGTAGCAATAAGCTTTTCGAGGCGTCCTTAACGCCCGGACCTTCCGAGGGAGATCGCCGTAATTCAAATCGCATCATTCTCCTCGAAACGATCGTTCCCGCTTCCGAAAGGAACATGTATACACACGCGCGAATGTGTTGTTGAAGGTAACGTCGAGCGCGCGTCGGAGTCTTCCGGTACGGCGGCAGGATCCAGGGAGGAGACTGTCCACTGTGTCAATTCCTGTATCAAGTCCGCTCGCGCGAAAGTGATGTCGGAGACACCGGTGAGCTTTGTCGTCGGGGAGCCCGAGCATGAGCCCGATCCTAATCGCGATCCCGATCCTAGCGAGGTGCTGGAGATCGAGGATAGCTTCCCGAACGAGAGCAGCGATAGCGGCAATTTGCAGACAAATGCCGCGGAAGGACTGGTCGAACGCCGTAGGCGGCTCAGGTGATTTTTGTTTCTTTTTTCTTCTTCTCCCGTTGTCAGTAACGAGCAAAAGCAGATCCCGATTCAGATGCCCCTGCGGCCGAGTCGTCCGGCGTCGGGGCGGCTACCCGCTTACCCGCGTCGTTCGCCGTCCGCGCGAGTCTCGAGATTGCGAAGGATGAGACGGCGGAAAATTCGTCAACTTGCGCACCTACGAGAAAGCTAGGGAAGGAAAGGGAACGACGCGATATGTATCTTCGTAACCTTTTTCACCTCTGTCACCGCGCGACAATGAACGTTCAACGTTTGAATATTCAAAGAGTCGCCTCCCCGCATTAAATACGACCGACGCATTCTGCAAAAAAAAAAAACGTGGTTTTTCAGAATGCACGGTCTTAAAATATTTGGGTTTTAGATAAATCGTGAACATCCACGCACGTCGGACCGATTGGGTTCTCTACCATGTATTAAATACGCATTGCAAACGACACGAATTCGACCTTACGCGGTTATCGCGGCTGACAAGATACTTTTAAAGACCCGATAATGCAAAACTGGTATTTTTTTCCTATTTTTTTTTTCTACGCGCACACACACACACATACACAAACACTACACTTTCTTCGCTCACGAGTTGTAACATTACGAGTTACAAATACGGTATACGTAAATAGGATGTTATCGCGTAATCTTCGATGTGGTCGTACGATCTTTCCTTCAAGAGTTAAAAGACCGAATGAGAAGCTAGAAGCTACCGTCTTTACGCGCGACGATATGTGATATATGAAACATTGGACGGAGAGACGATTATGTAATATGTTTTCATGTCGTTTCAATTTTAGAGCGTGTCGTAATTCGCGCAGGTTCAAAAATTTTTATATATTTATATTTTTATATATTTATATATTTATATTTTTCAGATTTTTTATACGAATTAAAACGTTTTTCAGAAAAACTCGGAACAAAACACTCACAAAATAACAATAAAATATTTCAGATTTTTCCTATAACCGATATATTTTTATAAAAATCTGAATGAATTTAAGTTCTAATATAATATTCAAAGACGCGATCGCATGGGGAAAAAATAATGAAGCCAATCTGCGAAAAGGTTAAAGGCCTCAAAATTCCTTTAACATTGTAATTGATGACGACTGCTTTTTGCTCGATACGTGAATGAGCTTGATAAGCAGATTCTGAAATGTCGCACGTTGATCACGTGATCGATACAAGATACAACGATATCAATATATCGTATAAATATAATTTTATAATCCTTTTCATGCCGATATTAGAGCGATATTATTATTATTTTGATAACAATATCGAAGTGAGATCGTGTCGCAAAATGAATGCAAAGTAGATGCATCATATTTTATATCAAACTATATATGTTAAAATAAGATATGAAACATCCTGTTTCAAAGCGATTGATGTTTTGACCTTGTCTTGACGCTTTATAACAATAGTTGAAGAAGAATTAATTTATGCGAGAAGAATCGTATTGTTTCGTTTAGCAAAAATATTGATGGTCTTAGAATTGTAAAAGTTTTGACTAAAAATTTTTATTAACGTCTTTTCGAATCAACTAGTTTTTTCCGCACTCATTTCTATGTTGTAGAAAACGAAGATATTTGGATAGTCAGGAGGGGAAGTGAGTGACAATAGGCAATAGGCCTGTTCTTTTCAGCTGAACTAAAGCACGGTTTATCTTTCCTCTTTTTCTTTTCATGTTGGAGAGACAAAGAGAAAAGACGAACCGTCCAAGAAGTTCAGCTGAAAAGAGTAGACCTTATGAGTGAAACATGTTACACGATGACAGAGTAATGGAATCAATTATTTAAAAAATAGAGAACCGCTCGACTTTCCCTGGTGGAAAGATGTCTCAGAATTTTTCATACCTATTATTAATTAATTAGAATTTCTATAAAAATTTTCAGACTTTCTCAGAATGTTCAAAATTTTTCAGATTTTTTATACGAATTGGAACGTTTTTCAGAAAAACTCGGAACAAAACATTCACACAATAATAATAAAATATTTCAGATTTTTCCTACCAAATATATTTTTGTAAAAATCTGAATAAATATGTGAAAATCTGTGCAATTTATCATACAAACGAAAATTTTCATACAAACGGATACTGAAATATTCCGAAAATCTTCATCCAATTATTTCGGAAAATATCTAAGAATTTATATATATATTTTTTAGAATTTTTTATAAATCTCAATTCTTACAAAATTTCTGAGAAAATATGAAAAATTGTTTCACCAGGATTGTTACTATCTTTTTGTTTTCTAATTTGCCGTAAGAATGTCACAATATATCACTCGTTAAAACATTATTAAATTATTGAGTTTTTAATTATAAATATACAAGATTATTAAAAAATTAGAAAGATCCTGTACGTGCTTCTTTTTCTTCCCGAGCGTGCATGTAAAAAAAAAGGTAAGGGGATTCGCGTGTATCGAGGAAGGAAAGCCGTGTGGATAATCGGTAAGAAACTTGCTTGACCGCTGACGAGATAGTCGAAACGTCACGATAAGTTATACGTTTAATTCTTCATAGGAAACCCAAATTCTGCTATGCAAAACAGCCTGTTGCATGTGTCGTGACTCAAAAATATTCTTCATAATTTAGATTTATAATGACACGAATGACGTCGTGAAATTAATAATCCCCGACGCTCATTTTTGAAAATCATATTTTTAGAAATTATCTTCTTCGAGTGGTCGTTGCAACGCTATTTGAGAGAAAAGATCTTGCATTTCGCTCGTTATCCAGCCTCGCGAATATCTCATAGCTGTTGTCGAAACGAGACAACTTATTTATTTCTTACATTTATCTTATCATCTTTCTTATTATGATTATCTTCTATATTTTCAAAGGATTTTATATCTCTCTCTTCTTTTGCATTTGAGTGCTTTCGTTGCGTACATGCAAATGCGTACACGCAACGATGAAAATGACGAGCTATGGTGTTTTATGACGATATGCAGACGTGGTGACGCTGAACTTGATTTGCAGGATTATCTGTGCATTTCACAATTATATTATCGATAACATCTTTCGCATTGTTTAAACGAGGCGAAGCGTTATAGCGTGGGAGCTATTCAATTTTTATCCTGCAGGCTTTCGCAATTACGCGCATTATTTATTTGTTTTTGCTATTCTGGAGTTTGCAAACATTTCGGCCATTTATCCGGGAATTGCATGATGAGGTGGATAAAGAGATTTATCTTGACGGAAAATACAGAGAGGGCATGGCGAGCATGGCGAGAAACAGCGATACCGAAGAAAAGAATACGGACGAGACGCGAACAAAACATCCATCCAGATTAATGTAAATTTTATTTTGCGAATATATATAGACACCTTGTATAATCCATGCTAAAAACGTTACATCGCCAACTACGCGCGTCAAGCGAGCCTTGAGAAAGAAAGAAGGAAATTTTAATTGACATAAGAAAATGATCAGAAAGTCTCAATCTCCAATTAAATGAAATAATTAGAATAATCATAAATGTCAGGAAAGTTTCGATCACAAATTTCTCTCAAAAAGAGAGAAATATATATGCTATTATTATTATTATTTTAATATTGAGGCTGCATTCCGATATTCACTGTCAGCAACTTTCAGTACTGAAAATCTATAGTATACGTGACGTAAAATATAGATTTGCAGTACTGACAGTGAATATCGGAATGCAGCCTTGAATGAATGCATTTTTTCTCTTTGGATATCAGACAAATGCATTATTCAGCAATGAATGTTAAATAAGCTTCGAAATTATGGAATTTTAAGTAGGAGATTGCGAGATTAAGTAGTAGATAAGAAAAATGAAATAAATTGAAAGCCTCAAATTATTATAATATTATGACGGAAAGTACTGTATCGCGCAAACTATTCGAGGCTCAAATACTTTATTTTTTTTTACGTTTCGTATTTCTTACGGGCGGGTTGATGATATGAGATGTTTTTGCTCGTAATGAACTCGAAGTACATCACTGGTCAATATTTATGCAGATGTATGCGGAGCGTAGTTTACGGGATTTTAAAATATGTATCATCGAGTATGATAATATACCTCTAACACCACAATATATTGCAGCAGTATTGCACGGCAAAATTGCAATATTGCAGCAATATATCTGTATGTCCTACCCCGCGCAATATTGCTGCAATATTACAGCAATGCTGTGGCACTACATTGGACAAATATTATATAGAGGGGTAAAAGCCATAGTGGTGAAGTCAAATTTTTTAAAACATTGACTCGTGTGCATAGATGCAATATATACAATATAAATTGCATCTATGCACACGAGTTATTTTAAAAAATTTGACTTACACCATTATGGCTTTTACCCCTCCATATCTCTGAGTTAATTTATTTCTTAATTCACCAAATGTCTATATTTTTATTAAGGAACTTTATATATTAAAAGCTGATTAAAATAAATCATTATCTTTATTATAACTAAGCTAATTTATTTTTTAGTTCATCGAATGTGGATAGTTTCCCATTAAGAAACTTCATACATTTAAAGTAAATCTAAATAAATAATTATTTTTATTACATCCAACAATAAGCTAATTTATTTCTTAATTTATCGAATATATATGATGCCTTAATATGTTGCAATGCCACCTTGCAGCAATATTACTGCAAGATTGCCATAATATTACATTCCAATATTGTTGCAACGTATCAGCACTATTGCACTGCAAGTGCAATATGACAATATTGCTGCAATATATCGTGCTGTTAGGGACAATGAATACCTACTCATGAACGTGTACATGTTTCGATAGGCCCAGCATGTCGCAGGGTACGGTGATGATCCAAGCGCAAAATCGGCTTCTTGAGAAGGACTTTACCGTTGCGACTCCCGAAGAGTTTGTCCATCGTTTCGGAGGCACCAGAGTTATCAACAAGGTAAGCGTTTGCTTCAAACGCGCGGAGCGAGAAAAGGTTGACATTGCTACGGATCTTTACATTACAGACCGTCGTTTTGTAGGTGCTGATCGCCAACAATGGTATCGCGGCAGTTAAATGTATGCGATCAATTCGACGCTGGTCATACGAGATGTTTAAAAATGAGAGAGCTGTGCGTTTTGTGGTGATGGTCACGCCGGAAGATTTGAAGGCGAACGCGGAATACATCAAAATGGCAGATCAATACGTGCCTGTACCGGGTGGGAGCAACAACAACAATTACGCTAATGTGGAACTGATCGTCGATATCGCGATACGTACTCAAGTCCAAGCAGTTTGGGCCGGATGGGGCCATGCTTCGGAAAATCCTAAACTTCCGGAGCTACTCCACAAAAATAACATCTGCTTTATTGGTATAAATAAAAAGTATAATTTGTGTTTCTCCAGCTGTTATTTTGCCGATAAGAATCAATAAAATGATCGTGACAACAGCTTTTCGCGGGATTTTAATATTCATAAATTTGCATACTTTCATGTCGATGCGCTCTTACATTCTCATGTTCCTAAATTCTTCGGCAGGACCGTCCGAGAAAGCCATGTGGGCTCTAGGTGATAAGATCGCATCGAGCATAGTCGCTCAAACCGCGGATGTCCCAACGCTTCCCTGGTCAGGATCGGAATTGACAGCGCAATACAGTGGGAAAAAAATCAAGATATCATCGGAACTTTTTAAAAAGGGATGCGTTGCCACCGTGGAGGAATGTCTGGCAGCGGCTAACAAGATCGGCTTCCCGGTTATGGTAAAGGCGAGCGAAGGTGGTGGAGGTAAAGGAATTAGGAAGGTTGAAAACGCTGAGGAATTACCCGCTTTGTTTAGGTAAGACCCAAAGTTCCGCGCCCAAAAAGAGGACTTTAATTGTATAAACCATTGCACTGCACTGTGTAAACCATTTTCATCGCAAGGATTTCTAACGTTTAGGCAAGTACAGATCGAAATACCTGGCTCACCAATATTCATTATGAAACTGGCTAAATGCGCTCGTCACTTGGAAGTACAATTACTGGCCGACATTTATGGTAACGCAATATCATTGTTCGGACGTGACTGCTCTATCCAGAGGAGACATCAAAAAATTATCGAGGAGGCACCTGCCGTGATCGCCAAACCAGAGGTTTTCGAAGAGATGGAAAAAGTAAATATCACAGTAATTATATTTTTGACAACGTTGTTATTGACTGCGCTATTAATTGTCTACTATCAAATGACAGGCCGCTGTGAGATTAGCAAAAATGGTGGGATACGTTAGCGCAGGTACCGTTGAGTATCTGTACGATACAGCGGGCAGGTATTATTTCTTGGAGTTGAATCCTCGTCTTCAAGTGGAACATCCTTGTACCGAGATGGTATCGGATGTAAATCTACCGGCCGCCCAACTACAGATAGCCATGGGTTTACCATTGCATCACATCAAAGATATACGTCTTTTGTACGGTGAAAGCCCCTGGGGCGATAACCCGATCGATTTTGACCAACCACGTCATAAACCTCAACCGTGGGGTCACGTTATCGCAGCTAGAATTACTAGCGAAAATCCTGACGAAGGTGAGATTACTTTCTACCGCAAAAGCTTTAATCTTGTATACAAATTATATAATTTGCTTGGATTTTAGGCTTCAAACCGAGTTCCGGCACGGTGCAGGAGTTGAATTTTCGATCATCCAAAAATGTATGGGGCTATTTCTCAGTTGGAGCTTCGGGGGGACTCCACGAGTTCGCGGACTCTCAATTTGGCCATTGCTTCTCTTGGGGTGAAGACCGTAATCAAGCTAGAGAGAATTTAGTCATAGCCCTAAAAGAATTGAGCATCAGAGGCGATTTTAGGACGACGGTCGAGTATCTTATCACTTTGCTGGAGACCGAATCCTTTCTACAAAATAATATAGATACCGCTTGGCTCGATTTGCTGATCTCTGAACGTGTCCGAAGCGACAAACCAGACATCTTATTGGCTGTTACCTGCGGAGCGCTTCATATCGCTGATAGAACGATTACAGCCGCTTTTGCTGGCTTTCAAACTGCCTTGGAGAAAGGCCAGATACAAGCCAGCAACGATTTAGATAACGTTGTTGACGTAAGTTTCTGTTCCATGTTGTTCGAGTAATACCTATCGCGCAAAATGCATTTTTCGAACTATTTTGGAATTGATTTTATACGTTATGGACTATGTACTTTTATTTTATTTTCGTTTTCTGTCACTATATTATGTCTTGCAGGTAGAGCTTATTAACGATGGATACAAATATAAAGTACAGGCTGCCAAATCCGGTCCCAATACTTACTTTCTCGTGATGAACGGTTCTTACAAAGAGATCGAAATCCATCGAATGTCGGACGGAGGATTGCTGCTTTCGCTGGACGGTGCCAGTTTTACGACTTATATGCGTGAAGAGGTGGATCGTTATAGGATTATTATTGGAAATCAGACGTGCATTTTCGAAAAGGACAATGATCCATCTTTACTGAGATCACCGTCGGCCGGCAAGTTGATCAATTTCTTGGTCGAGGATGGCGGCCACGTTGGCGCCGGTCAAGCGTACGCCGAAATCGAGGTAATGAAGATGGTCATGACCGTTACCGCCAGCGAGGCGGGAAGCGTGTTTTATGTGAAGAGACCTGGCGCTATATTAGAAGCCGGTACATTGATCGCGCATCTTGAGCTGGATGATCCGTCATTGGTGACAAAAGCGCAAGAATATACGGGACAATTCAGGACAGCAGCGGGATCGACTGTACCGGACAAACTGAATCATCTTCATGCCATGTATCGAAACGCTTTGGAAAATACATTGGCTGGCTACTGCCTGCCCGATCCGTACCATTTGCCGCGTCTACGTGAGCGAATCGAAAAGTTCATGTTTTCATTACGCGATCCTAATTTGCCGTTGTTGGAACTGCAGGAGGTGATCGCAACGATATCCGGCCGGATTCCCGTCTCAGTGGAGAAAAAGATTCGCAAATTGATGTCTCTGTACGAGCGAAACATCACGTCAATTTTAGCTCAATTTCCCAGTCAGCAGATTGCCGCCGTAATCGATGGACACGCGGCGACCTTATCGAAGAGAGCCGAGCGAGACGTGTTCTTCATGACCACTCAAGCCATCGTGCAATTAGTACAAAGATACCGGAACGGTATACGCGGCCGAATGAAGACCGCCGTGCACGAACTTCTCCGACAATATTACACAGTCGAGAGCCAATTCCAACAAGGTCACTATGACAAGTGCGTTTCCGCGCTGATAGAGAAGTACAAGGATGACGTAGCTACAGTGACCGGGATGATCTTCAGTCATAATCAAGTGACAAAGAAGAACGTACTAGTCACTATGCTGATCGATCATCTATGGGCTAACGAACCTGGTCTTACGGACGAGCTGTCGAGCACGTTGACGGAATTAACCAGTCTGAATCGCACGGAGCACAGCCGCGTTGCGTTGAGAGCCAGGCAGGTATTAATCGCCGCCCATCAGCCTGCATACGAGCTCAGGCATAATCAGATGGAATCTATATTCCTTTCTGCAGTTGATATGTACGGGCACGACTTCCATCCGGAAAATTTACAGAAACTCATTCTCTCGGAAACGTCCATTTTCGACATACTTCATGATTTCTTCTATCATAACAATCGTGTGGTGTGCAACGCAGCCTTAGAAGTCTACGTGCGACGAGCTTACATCAGTTATGAACTGACATGTTTGCAACACTTGGAGCTGTCCGGCGAAATCCCATTAGTGTATTTCCAATTTGTTTTACCCAGCAATCACCCTAATCGTCAGAATCAGTCTCTGGTAGATCACAGAGCCGGCGCGATGGCGGCTTTTGAGGATCTCGATCAGTTCAGCCAGTACGCGGACGAGATTTTGGACTTGCTGGAGGATCTGTCGAGTCCCACACCGGTAATGTCCGCGAAACTGTTGGAGGCAGTGGATGCTGTCGGTAGCGAATCACGGCACAGTACGTCAATCAACGTCTCCTTGAGCGCGGCTGAGACGGCAACTGCAGCGACAGCGGCGACTATCAATGACAAATTCGCCGAGCCGGTTCACATATTGAGCATCGCGGTTAAAGAGAATGGCACCGAGGACGACGCCACCATGGCCAGGATGTTTGGAGATTGGTGCGCGAATAACAAGGACGAGCTGATATCCCGCGGCATCCGAAGAGTTACGTTCGCCGCGCTCACGAGGCGACAGTTTCCCAAGTTCTTTACCTTCCGTCAGCGAGAGGGCTTCGTCGAGGACAGAATCTACCGTCACCTCGAGCCTGGCTGCGCTTTCCAATTGGAATTGAATCGCATGCGAACTTACGATCTTGAAGCACTTCCGACGTCCAATCAGAAGATGCACCTGTATCTCGGACAAGCCAAGGTCGCCAAGGGCCAGCAAGTTACGGATTATCGTTTCTTCATTCGCTCGATCATACGACATTCTGATCTGATCACGAAGGAAGCTAGCTTCGATTATCTTCACAACGAGGGCGAGCGCGTCTTGCTCGAGGCCATGGACGAGCTGGAGGTCGCGTTCTCGCATCCTCTCGCTAAGCGCACCGAGTGCAATCACATCTTCTTGAACTTTATACCCACGGTCATTATGGATCCCAGCAGAATAGAGGAAAGCGTGACGAGCATGGTGCTGCGATACGGGCCGAGATTATGGAAGTTGCACGTTCGACAAGCGGAGATAAAGATGACCATACGGCCCGCACCGGGGAAACCGACCTCCACTGTGCGTCTGTGTATCGCCAATGACAGTGGCTACAGCATCGACCTGCACCTTTACACGGAAGCCACCGATTCCAAGACGGGTATCATTCGCTTCGAATCTTATTCGCCTACGGCGGCCAATGCGACCAATTGGAGGCCGGGTCCTATGCACGGCTTACCGATCTCCACGCCGTATCTGACCAAAGATTATCTCCAAGCGAAGAGATTCCAGGCGCAGAGCGCCGGTACGACGTACGCTTATGACTTGCCGGACATGTTCCGGCAGCAACTCGAGAAGCTGTGGCAGAGGTACATTGAGGAGAGGCCACCGAGCGAAGGTCAAAGTCCGATTACGATTCCTAATCCGGTGATGGATGTCGTGGAGTTGGTGTTGGAAGGAGAACAGCTGGTTGAACAGAAGCGACTGCCGGGCGAGAACGATGTCGGCATGATCGCGTGGCGGTTGACTCTGTATACCCCGGAATATCCATTTGGCAGGGACATTATACTCATCTCTAACGATTTAACGTACTTGATAGGCTCATTCGGGACGCGCGAGGATCTGGTGTTTTACAGAGCTTCCGAGAGAGCGAGACAGCTCGGGTGTCCGCGCATATACTTTAGCGCCAACTCTGGAGCACGTATTGGCCTGGCCGAGGAGGTAAAAGCTCTTTTCAGGATCGCGTGGGAGGACGAGAACGAGCCGGAGAAGGGTTTCAGATACATATATCTCACACCGGACGATTACGCGCGCTTGGCGCCCCTCAATTCGGTGAAAGCCTCGCTGATTGAGGATCCCGCAGGAGAGTCACGTTATAAAATCACGGACATCATCGGCAAGGACGATGGTCTGGGAGTCGAGAATTTGAAGTACGCCGGTCTAATCGCGGGGGAGACATCGAGAGCCTATGAGGAGACGATCACGATTTCTATAGTGTCGTGCCGTGCAATCGGTATCGGCGCCTATCTGCTGCGTCTCGGCCAAAGGGTAATCCAGATCGAAAATTCGCACATTATTCTAACCGGTTACAGAGCATTGAACGCCGTGCTGGGTCGCGAGGTTTACGCCAGCAATAATCAGCTGGGCGGTACGCAGATTATGCACAACAATGGGGTGTCTCATGCGACCGACGCTCGAGACTTGGACGGAGTGGGGACCGCACTAAAGTGGCTAAGTTACTTCCCTAAAAATAGAGGCACCCCGTTGCCGATACTGTTACCCATCACAGACCCGATTGACCGAGAGATCGCTTACGTACCTACGAAAGCGGCCTACGATCCGAGATGGATGCTAGAAGGCAGAAACTGTACCGAGTCAAACGTTTGGGAAAGCGGCTTTTTCGACCGCGGCTCGTGGCACGTGAGTTTTATTTTTGTTTTCTCTCGCTCTTACAGCAACACGATAGCAAATTTGTTAATTCGCTTTTGTTTGATGGAACAGGAAATAATGAGGCCATGGGCGCAAACGGTGGTAACGGGGCGAGCTAGGCTCGGTGGGATACCGTGCGGCATTATCGCCGTCGAAACGAGGACCGTCGAGCTACATTTACCAGCCGACCCTGCCAATTTAGATTCGGAAGCGAAAACCATATCTCAAGCGGGACAAGTTTGGTTTCCGGACAGCGCGTACAAAACCGCCCAAGCTATTCAAGATTTCGGAAAGGAGGAATTGCCGCTATTTATCTTCGCCAATTGGAGAGGCTTTTCCGGCGGCATGAAAGGTGAGCTCGATCGAGCCTGCCGCTCGATTAATCGCTGTCCCAATTTCACTAATCGCTTCGTTATTCTCGTTTACAGACATGTACGAGCAGATCGTCAAGTTCGGCGCGTACATCGTGGACGGATTGCGGCAATATTGCAGGCCGATAATCGTTTATATCCCACCGAACGGGGAACTCAGAGGCGGCGCTTGGGCAGTCGTTGATACTACGATAAATCCTCGTTTTATAGAGATGTTTGCCGACAATACCAGTAGAGGTGGCATCTTGGAATCCGACGCTATCGTAGAAATCAAATTTCGTACCAAGGACATTGTGAAAACTATGCACAGAGTCGATCTCGTTATACTGAAATTAAAAGTACGTAAACGATTTCTTCTTTCTTTACGTCAAACTCCCGATATGTTTATGTAATCTATGTGTGTTTGTAGGAAAAATTGTCGACCGCAAACACGGCGGAGGAACGAACCGAGATCGAAGCGCAGATTCGCAAACGCGAGGAGATTTTGGAACCGATGTATCGTCAAGTCGCCGTACATTTTGCCGATCTGCACGATACACCGGAGAGGATGTTGGAGAAGAATACGATTCACGAGATAATACCATGGAAAAAGGCACGCCAGCTGTTTTACTGGCGATTACGCCGAAGACTTTCCGAGGAAGAAATTAAAAACGAGATCTTGTCGACGCAGCCCAGTCTCGACGTCAGACAAGTGGAAGCAATGCTTCGACGTTGGTTTATCGAGGACAAGGGAGCAACGGAGTCATATTTGTGGGATCAAGACGAAGCTGCAGCTTGTTGGCTGGAAGCGCAACGTAAAACCGATGACAGTGTTGTATCGCGTAATATAATGTGCGTGAAGAGAGACGCGGTAGTAACGCGTATCAAGGAGGCTTTAGAAATCTGTCCGGAAATAAGGTTGGACGCGGTGCTGGAAATTGCGCATAGATTGCAGCCGACCGAACGAGCGGAGTTGCAAAGAACTTTGTCGCAATTAGAGACTACGGGGCAGGAACACCATAAGGACTCGAGCGTTTCATCCTGAATGCATTTCTCGTACGAGTATCCGCTCCATGCTACGTATTCATTCCAACTTGTTAATATTTAAATGCGCATCAATAGTACAATTTATCATCAAAGATATATGTATAATTATTCATATCAATCCAAATATGTTCTGGTATTAAGGGTTAATAATTGAGCAGGCGATATTTCGAGTAGTTTTGTAAGATTTAATTTTTTCAAATTTCGACTGGAATCTGGCCACGATCATGATCTCTCTTTTGACATTTAAACGGTCGGAGTATCCCGATAGTTTAAAATTTAGCAAATTTTATTTTAAAGTTGATGATTCAAGAAATTGGAAAAATACAAGGGTGTGTTCCACTTGGCGCTCGCAACACTCTTAGAATCATTTCATCCTTGTTGTTTGTTAAATGTTAAATAAGGATGAATGAGCTCATGAGCGTTGTAAGCGCCAAATGGAACGCACCTTAGGATATTGTCCGATTAACTTGTTAAACGATTTTCTCATAATCTCTTTGATACAAAGCGCTTCACATATTCGAATATATGGATTTAGGAAAAAATAGAAAGGTGCGTCACTGTTGTTTCGTGACGAGCTTATAGATTATAATTGTATATGGAAATATAAAGAGATTTATACCCAAAATATCGCATATTCCTTCAGTTACAAACTTTTTGAAATTCTAAAACAATTTTTCCGTAGGAGAACTTGCCGATGTATTTCTTTATCATGACCGTTGAATTTTTAGAAAACATCCTTCGTATCCGACTTGTAACAGTATGTCATCTTGGTATATCTTTTAATTTTCAATATTTCACAAGTTTTTCATTAATGCTTGATTAGTGATAATTAAGATATGCCCCAATTTGGGACGTTCTGTACTGTGTATCTGAAAGAACATGCGTTAATAAAAGTGCGGGGATATTCTGTATATAATTATATACACACGCGCGGGCGCGTACGCGCGCAAATATATAAAATGTATATTTATTTTTCGAAGGAAAACATTGTAAGAGACTTTGACATTGATGAACAATATGCTCGCGCAACTGCCGCATTTAAATAACATTATCTTACGACAGATGCAAAAATGTAAACATTCTATGTATAACGTTAAATGTTTTTTCTCTATGTTAATTTCTTCTTTCTACGTTTTGCGCGGAAGATATATATTTTCATTTTCAAACATTATCACATTCTTCATAAAAAGTGCCATCGAAGCACTGGAATTAAAATTTGTTTATTGTAACATTGTATGCGTCTATACATTTATTCGGTTTAATCGAACGTCACACGCATTCTTTGGTGCAGACAATACTCACTAGCACGTTTCTATCACAAGAAATACACACGCACACGCTCTCTCTCCCAAGCCTTTTATATATTTGATATAATTTTTTTTGTAAAATTACTATTAGGTATATTATATAAACTATATACCATGTATGTACATTCGAGAGAATACCTCATAAAAAATTGTAAAGTTTCACATAATTCTCAAACCTACGTAGAAGATTATCCTTAAAAAACTGGTATTTGACTCCGATGTACATCTGTTAAGTCATCATCTAAAGTAAGTAATACCATAAATGAAAAGAACATTGCTAGTGCAGAGAGAAAGTGCCAGATATCATGGGAATCAAAAAAGTTCCATAATGCGCAAGGTTTATTGTACAGGCGGGATTGGGCCGGTGTAAGAGCCCAAGAAATAGTTTTATTCACGAAGAAGTACAAGGCTGCTCCCCAAAATAGCATGGATAGGAAAATATAAATCGCGGGTGTAGGAAGAATCCGTTCCCTATGGCACAACTGGAAGCAAGATTTTTGTATTAATTAAAATTATAAAATTCTTCTGATTTCTTACGTGGTCACGAAAGAGAGAGAGGAGGGAAGAGAGCGAGAGAATATACATACCTTCATCATTATGTAAAAGAATGTATATAAAATTAAATTGGACATCAATATAGCCAGTAAAAATGTAGCGAAGTTGCCTTGCTGATACATATTTCCGAATACCGCGAGACCGACGTTACATAAATTCGCTAATACGAGCATTATGAATCTTGCGGGATAAAGCGGTCGAAGTAAATGCCATATGCCGCAGCGTGCCTCGTGCTTGAATCTCTGCAAGATACCAATGGCAAATGTCTTGCGACAGTGCGTGATATTAAATAGATTACATACCTGTATCACTCTTTTAAAAACGCTTCTGTTGAATTTGCATCGTCCCATGTAATATATTTGCACAGTCAGAAAGAAGCATATTAGTAAATGCAGGATAGAAAATATTATCAGAAAGGTCTTAGAACCATTTAGAACTCCGATCAGTCCTGCGAATATTATAACAGCCAACATTCCAAATGTTACCGGTGCTCTAGCGTTTATATCGGGATGGCGATTTTGATAAATTTTGATCATACACAGCACAGCGATTACATACATGAAGCTGGTGTCTGGAAATTGATTATATGAATATATGAAATTAAAGAAAATATACTTTGCAATTAATGCCACTTACCAAATTGAAAATTACTACGGCTAGGGCACACGTGATAACTCGCCGACAATATACCTTCCATTATTAATGCAGTGCCCATTGCATAAAACAGACCGTAATGTTGCGGTATGCCATAGCATTTTGTTTTCTCCTGATCCGGCTCGTGGTGCTCTCGAGAGGAAGTTAGAAATATGAACAGTAAACCCAGCATAACGTATCCGAAATTTGAGAACACGTGATTGAAATCGGACAGTAGTCCCAGCGGATGGGCGCACAAGAAATTGTAATAGCACATATCTTGATTGCCGGTTGTATGAAGTACACGCTGATATGTCACCGCCAATTGCACGACCGGCAAGGTATAGAATATTGCGACGGTTGCCAAATAATATAAGTATAAACGAGATTTATGTCGCAATATCCTCGGTTCTTTGCGAGCGAGATCGCAAACCGAGAGGATGACCTTCGTTCGTATTACGTCCTTATCGGAGAGAGCATCTTCCATTAGATCTATATCGTCCTCATCCAGAGATGAATCTTCTTCTACAGAATCCCATTTTTTCGGACTATTCTGAAGCATTTCAATATTATAAACATTGACATTTATATAAACGTACTTACGCAAAAGACACAGATGACTATGTATATGAAGCTCGAATCATGTTAATATTAATTAGTTACCGTCGACGGACTCGGTACGTGCTCGTTAACATCTTGGCTTTGTTCGTTTATCGGTTCTTGCGTCGCAAGTTTCTTGGTCTCTCTGATATTGAATACTATTACAGCCATTATATAAGAGATACAAAAACCTAATACAATTGCCGCCGCGGATGCCGATGCAACAACATAATCCCGTTTAGTAATAGTAGGATTTACGATTAACGTAACATTTTTAGTACGAAGAGGATTACTACTTGATAACCCATTGCAATCGGTGTCCTCCCCTTTGACGACAAGTACAACGAAGAATCCTAATGGATAAGCCTCCCTCTGAAAAAAGTATTGTAACAGTTTTATATATATTGTAAAACGATTTATGTACATTGTAACGTTAACACTGTTGCATTATAATAACATATTATAACAATTTTATGTTACATTACATGGACATATAAAATACATCAATTTTCCTAAGATTATTACACTATATATAGCATCACTTACCGGTACTGTAATACCTCCTCTTCTACTCATAGTTTGCCAGTGTCCAGAAAACTCGATGTTTCGTTCCAAATCGAATACAGGACACTGAAAAATAGAGATTAGAAAGGAAAAATAGAGATTTATGAGTATTGAATTTCATCAAGAACTACATCACCACTACTCACCGAAGTATTTTGTATAGACACGGTCATACAGACATCATTATCCGATTCGACGCGAACAATGACAGAGGAGTTCTCCTGTTTTGAGAAGATGTAGCCATAATATATAGGTTCAGATGGAGAAATCTGTACCTCTACTTCAGTTCCAGAACTACGAAGGATCAAACGCAAAAATAAGCGAAAAGTATGAGCGAGCTATATGCTTGATGCGTTTCTTAACAATCTTGCGTTTGTATGACACAATACATACTTTAAATAAAAGTCTGTAATTTCAACCACGCTGATTTGAAAGAAGATATTATCGCGACTGGCTGTGGAGATACCGACAATAACATATTCCTCGTCGTTTTGTGCATATCGATAATACTTGGTGGAGCACAGAGTACGACTAGTCTTGTTATATGTCACAGTATCTAAGTTCACGCCGTTGACAAGCAAAGGTATTTGCCAAGATAGGATACCAGTTGTTTGACGCACTACTATTATCAACGGCAAACTATGAGTTGCGTTGCTTTCTATCTTGATTCTTGCGGTTTCCAAGGATATCTATATAAATATACAATTAAATATATAATTTTATTCAAAAGGAGAAGAGATATACCTTCGAATGAATAAGTGTCGACACTTACATTGCTAGTGGGATACAAAAACACATATTCGATCGTAGCGTTTATGGTTTTTGTATAATTTATTCCATAATCAGCCTGAATGACGATTGGAGAGAAAGATGGGGATGTCGAGGATAAAGTCACAGCCCTTACAGTGTGAAGAAGTAGTAATAAAGTAATTAATCTCAAAGTATATTGCATCTCCATCGTGATTTTACTAGAAAAGAAGCAAAATGATTTAAACAAATTCAGTAGACTTGTATATCTTCGTAATATATATATGTACTATATATATAAAATACGGATGTTGCTCGACATTCGTATCTCTATTGAAATAACGATAAATTAAATACTGGCGATACTGATAACTACAGAACTATAGAATATTGGAATAAG